AAAAAAAAAAAAAAAAAAAAAAAAAAAAAAAAACAATTGTCTTCCCCTAATAACGGTTTTTGATAAGCTAGTGACTCCCAGGTGAAGTGACTGGCTCAACTAAATGCACTCAGTGCCTTCTATAAAGCCACTAAAAGTGACTATACAACGGGTCCTCATCTATATTGAGAATAATGAATTGAAATCTTAAAAGCTGCTGAAGGGATTCAATAGTCGTTAACCTTTACTTATAAGCAACGAAAATTTCAATATATTTGGAAAATTAGGCAGATAAAAATCAGTTAAGACGAGCTTTGGTTGACAAAGCGGTAGATAACAAGAAATTGAACCCTTTATTGCTTTCAGCTTCTTTTTCTCAACAGCTTTTAAATTGGAAGGGTAAGCGATCACTGACTTTAAACACCCTTTAAAGATGACATCATTTATAGAGGCTATCGAACTTACTTCCAAGTAACTATCGGGCTTTTTTAAAGCCGTTGAAGATGATATCTAATGATTAGAGCTTTGAATCTTTTTACTCTATCATTTATTTAAATCAGAAATCCTTTGAATTCTAAATACCCAAATGTTTATTTTTTTAATTTCCTGAAACCTATAAATTCACCAGCAATGTGTCGGTTCTTAGGTCTTTTGCATCGACTAATAGAACTGATTCCAAGTTCAACCAAGTTATTCTCTGTAGTGAACAAATGAAAAAAGTCTTTTACCTGCACAGAATACATTTTGAACGTCACTTTTAAGAATCAGAACTTTTGTTGTGTCATTATCCCTCACGTGACTAATCTGTGACTCAAGCTAAAAAGCGTACTACAGCAATCAAGTTAAATCCAGCTTTACAATATTTGGTCCTTAGTTCAGATAGTTATCTTTGTTAGCAAAAAACCAACAATTAATATAACTAATGTATCAATGATCTGTCTAACTAACAGAATTGAGCATCGCTCGACTGATGGCATTTTTCGCGTCTGGACGATTCATATGAATTACAGAAATACCTAAATAAATAACAATACCAAACATTTTAAACAGCTATTCATACTGATGATAAAGTATTGAAGAATTTATTAGGAAAATATTTTGACTGTATTCTAAATGCGAGGTTGTAAGCAGCAAAGAAATAACCGATGGTTTAGGAAAGATTAAATTAATGTATAAAAATACTTCAAGTTTGAGAAAATAAAAAAAACTTGATGAATTTCTCAAATAATCTGATTAAAAAAGGTTTGAATCCGTTTTCTAAAGAAGAAGAAGAAGAATAAGAAAAAAAAAAAAAAAACAAACCTTTATAATCACCAGTTAAATGTTCTATCCATGTAAGTTCCAGCTTTTGTACACTGTGATTTCTTTGCAATAAACTGTTAGTTATTGATTTGGTTGGCACAAAATTTAATTCACTGCAACGTTGAACGGTATCTTTTATTAGGCGCATCATAGTTTCTTCTTCCTTTTTTTTTCTTTCTGTCTCTGGAATTTTTATAAACTAACAGTATATATCATCAGTAAATTTAAAAAAGATTAAGATAATTTTACTAATAATAACTCTAAAAAAAAGGCCATTCTTTTTTCCAATTAATAGTAAATATCGTAAAACAGTAGCAAAAACAAACAAAAAAAAAAAAGACGATACCGCTGTTGTTAGGAATACCGATTTATAATTGTTTCCAGCAGCGGTAATAACAGCAGTAATTTTAGGCAAATATAGTTTACAGTTTTTTCAACATCTTCACCAAAAAAAATACCACTTGTAATATTTGTAGATGACATTATATGATAAATTTTTTCTTCTTTTTTCTTCTGCTGCTGTTTACTAAGAATACGGAATATTATTTTGATCAATATATTTTTTGCTTTTTTACAGCGTATAACAAAATGCCATATTCTTAATAAATTATGCATATATATGCAACTTAAGAATTAAATTTAGAACTTATTTGTTCTTCAAATGTTTAGTTTTGAAAAATTTAGCTGATCCATTATATTCTTAAACTACGTTCATTAAAATTTTTTTAAAGCCAGGACGGAATTGATAATACAACGACAGTTTTCTGTAAAGCACTACCTGATAAATAATGTTTTACAAAAAAAAAGCTCAATTTTAACAGTAGCAGACAAAAGCTTATCAAAAAAAAAAAAAGGAGAGTAAAATTTTGAGCAGAAATGACTTATAGAATGTATAAATTTTCTAGCATTTCTTCATTTTTATCGTAAGGAAAACAAAGCGAAAAAATTTATCAACTAATTCCCGACTGGAAATGCCAACATAGGTAAAAAAAACTGCTATAAATTGTTGGTAAATTATAATTTTTAAAAAATTTGCTATTAAAAAAATATTTTTTGATTTTTACCAAATAATTATGAAAAAAAAAAAGCAGAAAAATGAAAAATTTGTTTTCAAAATAGGGATAATCAAATAATGCATCAAATATTTTCCTTTTTTCATTTTTTTTCAGTTTTTTGTTTTATTTTATTTAATTTCTTTTTCATTTTCCCTGCTACAAATTTTTTATTATCAAATATTTGTGCAATAAAAAATTTTGATGTCAAAAATTATTTTTTCAATTTGTCAAAGATTTTTCAACAATATTAACAAATAAGTTTTTTTTTGCTCTCTCTCTCTTTCTTAAAGCCAAATATAATTTGCAATCTTTAATAGTAAATCACTGATAGTGCATTTCTTTTTTTTAATTTAATCAATAGTAAAAAGAATAAGAGAAAAAAAATCAGATTAATAATTAGCATTAAGTCTAATCAAAGTGGTGCTGAAAAAAGAATTATAAAAGCAAATGCAATTGTATTAATCAGTAAATAAAACTGAAGCTTCAAAAAGGCATTCTCAGGCATATTGACATTGATAGCTTCCGACAAACAAAAAAAGGAAATCTCTGTTTAACAGCTAATTTATTTGCAAAGAAAAAGGAAAAAAAAAGTTTAACTTCAAATTTTTTTTTTTTTTTTGCATCAACCAAATAGTGCTTCTGAAGAATTATTATTTTTTTTTTTGCAACAATATAAAATTATTAAATTTTATCAAGAGCACAAAAAACAGCTTTTTTCTAAGTTTTTTCAGTACTAAACATCAGTTGAACAGCATTCAACGCACTTATAATAGTGATATTTGTTGCTTAAAAAACTTTTTTTTTTTGCAAGTCTCAATCCATCATCTGCAAAGAAATCTTTTCATCCTTATAAAGTTTTAATTGTCTGCACATTCTCTTCCATTCTAATCCTTCTATTTTTGCAAGAAAACAAAAGCAACAACTTAAAATCATATGTTTTGTTGCACTTGAAAATTCAATTGAAATTATGCAAACTATAGCGGATTTAGGCAACTATAAAGTTACATCATCACGATAGTAGCACTAGAGCAAAAAAAAATCTTTAATTTTTCAAAACTGTTCGTTACTACTACTATTCTCTACAACCAAATAATATCATATAACCAGAACAATATCAAAAAAAAAAAAAAAAAAAAAAAAAAAAAAAAA